ATTCAACGGCATCATCATCCTCAATTGTACTGAAAACAACAACAGTGGCAAAGCCTACACCTACTTCTTTTCACTCTCACACATCCTGCCGCACAAATACAACTACATCGTGAAGGCAGATGACGAAGTTTTCATTAGGCTTGAGCCACTTGCCTTGTTGCTCAACTTGTACTACAAATTCGTAATTCCATGTGCTAGCATGATCCTGTTTGTGAACTACACGTTCGGGATATGATTTGTGCTGCCCTGGGATTTGGTTGCATGGATTTGAGCTTGTGACACTCCGAGAAAGGACGTGTTTGGTCTCGAGTATAAGTTGGTCGGAAAGTGGTTGAAGGTGGGAATAGAAGCAAAAAACCAGTTCTCGAATAAGTTGGCAATGTACAACTATCCGGGAACCGATGTGAAGTATTCTCGTGAGTTTATACCAGAAACTGTGGCTGTTCACCGGCTCAATGGGTGGGATCAATGGCTGCGTGTGCATGAATTTTTTAATACCAAAGTAGCGCTCTAACAAAATTTTTACTTTTAACTTTTAATAAATTTTTTACATGAACTTTGATAGCTACATTAAAATTGTTATGGACAAATTACAATTTTTAAACGAATGCATGGGAGACCGAAACATAGGAATTTGAATGTCCAACTTTCCAATGCATTTAATCTACAATACGAACTTGTTTGACATTTTTTATTTTACACAATTTACAACGGGGGAATACGTTGGTATCAAACTCCCTGTTAGCGCCCAATCATTTTACGGAAAGCTCTAGTGGATTAAAGACATTGCTCTGTATGTTTGTACGACCTCATGCCAATCCCAATTATATTATATGTATTTATCTGAAAAATTAGTAGTTGGTCATAAACAAGCTTTAATTAATAATCATGTCACGCCAAATAAGAAAATATATCATACCAATTATTTTAAAGTTTTAAACAAGCTTTAATTAAGCCCAATTATTTTAATTCATGAATTATCCCTTATACTCATTATCATGGTCAAAATAATTGGAGAACATTGTAAGTGAAATTCCTAAATTTCAGGCACCCAATTCAAGCTATTTCATTTCTGTTTATTGTTTATACCCAAGACAGAGTTGATGAACCAAAAAGTCTGAATAAAAACGCCATTGAACAAATCCTCTGTAGGACCAGATTCTGAGCAAGCTTCAGGGTTGGAAACATACTCTTCTTTCGCAGGTGGGGAGAGAGGTTCTACTTAAGGCGGTGGTTTAGGCTATACGGTGCTTATCTGATGAACCTGTTCAAGTTTCCGGAACTTATCTGTAAAGAAATGGATTATTTGGTTACCAATTTCTGGTGGGAGCATGATAAGAAGGAGAGGCATATCTATTAGGTTTCCAAGGACGTTCTTCGATTGCCAAAAGCTCAAAGGGTGTAGGTTTTTCAAAGCTTTATGGAGTTTAATGATGCCCTTTTAGCAAAGCAGTGCTGGCATTTAATTCAGGAACTAGAGTCACTGTGGGCATAGGTGTTGAAGGCTAGATATTTCCCTCACTGTTCGTTTCTAGAGGCTAAGCAGGGTGATCGTGCTTCATGGGCTTGGTCAAGCTTGTTATGAGGTCGATATATTCTGCTGCAAGGCGCCCATTGCCAGGTGATGAGTGGCCAGCAGATTAGTCTGTGGCGGGATCAATGGTTGCCTTCGTTTCTGGATGGTCACCCTATCCCTTCGGGGGATGTGCAAGTTAGCCGGAAATCCACAGTGGATTTCCTTATTAATCCAGCCACTAGATAATAGAATTTGGAGTTTCCTTGACCGTTTCTTTTGGTGGAGGTACTTGAGGCTATTTTGGCCATTTCAATTAGCAAGACTATATAGCAGGATTGATTAGTCTGGCTTATGGTTAAGACCAGAGTGTATTTTGTTATTCTATCAAATCGAGTTATCATTGGCAACATTCTCAGCTTCCTCCTCCTTCGCCCTAGTACTCCTCCTCGGCTGCTTCCATTCCAGGGAGATTATGGAAGTGGGTGTGGCAGCTTCATACTTCCTCTAAATTGAAATGTTTTATGTGGAAGACATTGCATCGTGCACTTCCCACGACGGCAGCTCTTTACAACCGGAAATACGCGCCTTACCGCTTTGCCCTTTATGTCATTCACATGAGGTGTCTGTTGAACATTTATTTTTTCTCTATCCATGGGTGAAAGCTATTTGGTTTGGGGGTGCTTTAACATATGAAGTTAATTCTCCAGAAATTACTTCATGGGATACTTGGCTTCTGGCTGTTCTACAGGATCATGTTCTTTCCAAGAATGACTTGATGCGGGTTTTTTCTCTCATTGCATTCTCTTGTTGGCACATTTAGAAAGCACGGTGTCATTTCTTTTACCAACATGATGCTATCAATCCGTTACGGGTTCTCTAAGCTATTTTCACCAGTGTGGCGACTTTCCATGATGCTAGGCAGGTTTCCTACAGTCGACGGGGATGACACCTATCTCATAGAGAGGGAGAGGTTAGGTGGGTGCTGCCAACTCTTCCTTATGTAAAAATAAATGTTGATGCCAGTTGGGATGTTGCTACAAGCACTGGATATGCAGGGGCAGTGGTGCGGGATTTTTTGGGGAATTTCTTGGCAGCTCGTCGCACAAAACTTAGGGTGACTTGCGTGGCTTATGCGGAAGCCTTGGCTATGCAGAATGGTTGTGACTTGGGTATCTCTTTGGGTCTCACTCATGTGGTTGTTGAAACGGATTCTCATGACACTATATCCTGTTAGCGGGATTCAATTTCTGAGAGCAGGTGGGAGGCTTTTCCTATTTTAGCAAAGTGTGTGAAGCTTGAAGAAGCTTTTCATGTCTGTCGCTGGTCTTGGATTCCAAGATCAGCTAATTTGGCGGCTGACGATTTGGTGTCGTGAAGGTGTGTGGAGATATGTGATGCGTCTTGGGTGGATAGGCCCCTATCTTCACTTATGCATGTTTTAAATAAAGATGGCTTACCTTGGCTGCCTTAATTTGTGGGGGAGGTGCTAGGGGGGACACTTTGAGCCTTGCTTTGAGTATTGGTTAGTCTAACCCCTGTACTTCATGGTTGTCTTTAGGTGATTGTTGTTGTTTGGCTTTCGTTGTTCTTTTAGGCCTCTCTTGCCTAGTTAATGTAGCTCTGTTTCCCAAAAAAAAAAAAAAGGTTTGCCATTGAAAAGTTGATTATGACGTCACCACTAACAGAAAAATGTACCCACGGGATACATGGCCTTCTTAAGTCCCATAAACTGCAAAGCTCTTCTGATATTTATGTTTGCATTCAAATGCATCAGTATTTGTTGGAGTAGGTACTCTTCCCTCCTCTCACAAATTTTTTTTTTTTGTCTTCTTCTAGTTATTAAAAAATTAACACAAATGTTGACGTGACTTAACTGTAATCGTTCAAATAGAAAGGGAAGGGAGATGAGGAAGACTAGGAAGGGATGGTTACCTGATTAGCTAGTTTGTACCCAAACTGAAAAGTTGGTTTTCCAGTCCCCATATATGTGAACAACAAAATGTACCCAATGCAAAAAGATTGTACCCACACTGGCATTTTAAGCCCCATAAAGGGGAAAAAACTTATTCAAGCATTTTAACAAACACATGTTGTACATACCAGAATTTTTCATAAACAAAAAAACAAGCCAAGATGAAATGCTCGCATATTCAAATACAAGTCATCAAAGTGAAGATACAAAAACACCTTGTCAAAAAAGAAAGGAAAAAAACCTCGAACTAGTAGTAAGATCTCCAAGTTTTCTTTGCAAATGCAAGTGCAGTTCTTTTCCCCTTGAAAAACCTCCAACTTACAAAGATTACCCATTTAAAAATCTTTACAAAGTCTCCCGATGTAAGAAAAAACTAACACAGTTTCTTCAAATTCTTTTGCAAAAATTTGCGTTCATTTGAGCACTCGTGGGGAAAATATGATTATGACTCAAAGTTAAGCGAAATATGAATTTGGCAGTACATATTGTTGGAGTGGAAAATTTCGGATATTCCAATTCTCCACTAATGAGTAATCTTGAACACATTGATAAGTTTTAGACACCATCTTCGCTTGCCATCAATAAGGGAGCAGGAAGACCTGCAAGAAAACACTTTGACACACATGTCAGTGTTTGTTCAGAATGCTTGTAAAGTATAGAACGATCTCGTACCTCTCATTTTCTCTCCCCCGTTCTGGTGGGATTTTAGTCTTTTTATAGGCATTAAAAGCTTGGCTTCCAAGTCCCATTATCTCACTCCATATTCTTTTGTAGTGGCTAATTCATGTTGCTTGATTATAGCTCCACTCTCAATGTTTGACGTGCTAGTGGGTTGTTTAGTGGAGTAATTTTTAGCTCTCATATTCCCCCATTTTTTCTTTGCAAACACATATCATTTAGGGTTTGCAGAGGAAAAATGTTTCTTTGCAAAAATTCATTTGACTTGAGATATCATCATGAGTTTAGCCTTCGACCACAGTCATATGGTTTTCAGCCTTAATTTTGGCCTTCGGCCACTGTCATATTGGTCTTCAACCATGAGTTTTGGGTCTTAAACCTTCGGCTCTTATTCGGTCTAGGTCTTCAACCCACGATCTCATGATCTTCGCTCGCCAATTTAGAGCTCATTTGGAAGTGCTTGTAAAATAACTGAAAGCGCTTTTGGTGAAAATGTTTTTAGAACCAATATTTAGTAAATATGCAAGTAAATCCTGGAAAGCACTTAAAGTGCTTTCTGGAAGAAGCACATAACTAGTGCTTATTGCAAAAAGCACTTTAAGTGCTTTTGGAACCCAAAAACATTTTATCTAAAAGCGATTTCAGTCATTTTAAAAGTACATCCAAACGAGCCCTTATGTAGTAATAGCATGGAGTAATTGAAATTCGAATAATATCAATATTACTAATGAGCATGAATAAGATAAAAATTCTTATTTGTCGACGATCGAGAGTTAATGTATAATATGTTTCTTTTGATCAGGAGCCTTCAGCACAGACGGTATTCGTGTGCTTTTAATATGCTCCATAATTCATGCACCAGAGCACAAATTCCATGAAATGCTTAGTATTCATCATCACTATCACTATTGTCGTCGTTGCTAGGTCATTGAAAGCCTTCAACCTCTTAACCAACTTCTTCTTCCTCTCATCAAAGGTAAGCTTCTTTAGGTTATACCTCTTGCATTTTTGAGGAGCCAACTTTTTAGTCTTCTTGATTGTAGGATCAACACCGATGGCAGCATGAACTTTCTTGTACAACTCCTTGATGTTATCTGCTTCAATGCCCTTCTTAATATATTCACTGAAGTGACTATGGTATTTCTCTGGCTCATCCTCCACCAAAGTCGTCATGTATGCAGCAACATGGCCACCATAGATATACTTAAAAGAGAGTGAATAGAAAACTTCCTTGTTTGGGGTTTTTGGCCTGTGCCCCCATTTTGGCTTGGGTGGCATCCACAACTTTTCCATACAGCTTTTTGTACGTTTCCCACAAACATCATTAACTGTTGGTGTGAAATGTCCTACATGAAGAAATTGCTCCACATATTCTTTTACTGCAATCCCCACGTTTGTTGAATCCTTTATTGAGAAGCGACCCTGATTGTTTTTTTTTTTTAAGCTTCATTTAGGTGGAGGTGGGTTCCTGCAAAAGGTATTGCGATGCTCAAGTCAGTCAATTGAATTCGTATAGAGGTCTGATGCTTGGGGAGCAAGTACCGCTACTTGTCCCTCGCTCCCTCTTCCGTAATGGAGGTAGTTATTTACCTCCTTCCACATGTTCTCCTTCTCATGCTCTAGTGAGGGTCACAACACACATGGATTATCACTCATGATCTTTGTGAGCTTTACCCTTTAGTCTAACCATCATAGGCTTGTCTTACATAACACCATCTCTTTGGATGATCGGTATGGGCCTATGAGTCGAAATCGAATTTGATCCTTCCACACATATCCACAATAATATTGATGAATTCGAATGCAAACGTAAAAATTAGAAATGGAATAGCTTGAACTAGGTTACTGAAATCTTAGAGTTTCAGTTACCATGATCTTCAATTATTTTGACCGTGATAATGAGTGATAGGAGAGAGAACTAGTGATCAAGGACCGAAATCTAATTTATTCTTTAAAAAATTAAAAGAACCACCAAGCCGGAATCTAATTTCTCCTATAAAAAATTAAAAGAACCACTAAACTGAAACGTCGGGTCGAAAAAGAAAAACGTAGAAACGGAAGCAGCATGATTGATGACAAGGATATCTCCACGTCTAAAAGGCTTTGGGTCACTTTCAAGAAAAGATTAATAACATTTGAAAATGTATTATTAAATAGGGACCTGCGCATAAATGAATCAAATCTTAAGTTGAGTTTTAATTCGAATGGAAACATAAGAAATGTTTTCAATTTTGCTTAGCATTGAATATATGAGAATAAATGTGAAAATAAAAGATCTAAATAATTTTGGAAATTAAATTTAACGGTTAAATGCGAACTTGAACTACATTATTACTAACTCATTGTGAGACTTAGTCCACTACTCCACCCTTAGTGTAGATAATATCGTTTGTTCATAAAAATAAAAATAAAACTATAAAAGTGTTAAAGTATTTTGCATTGAAAATGGTCTTCTAAAGATCACCCCCTCTCATTTAATGTAGCTAATATTGTTTGTCAAAAAAATAAAAAGTTTTCTAAAGATTTTCTTTTTAAATTTTTCGATGTATTGGAGATGACTTTATTAGCGTATTAGACATGTTTTTTTTTTCTCAGACAACGATATTGAAAAAAAAAAAAAAACTTAGCTTCACAATTCAATTAAATAATAAACTCAGTCATTTATAATACTTAAACATAAAAGCATTTACCTATTAAAAAATATTACTTTAACGTAATACCAATATAAAGATTAATTTTTTCTGCCGTAATTTTGTCATTACGTACCGACTATCCGTTGCGATCCAATCATAAACACACCACGAACACGAACCCAGCGTGCATGGTAATTTGCTCATTATTCAATTTCGAGATGCCACGTGGAAAAACGTCAACGTCGGCCGACTGACCCCCTTCAGACCGCCTCTCGACTTTCCCTCGTTTTAAAAAGGTGAGGTCGACTGCAACTCCCACCCCCACAACACAACAACCCAACCGACGCTTTTTCCCCCTACCAAAATTAGGACCACTTCTTCTTCCCCTTCGCCCCGAACCCGAAAACCCGACCCGAAACGTATCACACATGGCCGTGGCCACCGCGAGCCCGGAGAGGATCGAAGCTCCTCCGCAGAATCCGACAAAGGATGCCTCGCCGTCGCCGTCCAGGCTCTCCACCGCCGACGCCCCCTCCGAGGCTGAACGCTCCTCCTCGCCTCTTCTTTCTTACTCCGCCGACACGCCCAATCGCAGCGAGACTCGCAATTCTTCTCCCACCGCCGATGAGGTCATCCCCGATCACACACTCGTAGCTTATTTACTTGTATTGTGGTTCGGGAAAGTTCGTAATTTTGGCCTCCCAGATCGAAAACACAAATCTCACTTAAAATTCTTGAGTTAATTGCTGCATTTCAACTTAGGAAGAAGAAATTAGTGCAATTTTTTTTCTTTGAAAAATGAATTTAGACTTGTTTGATGAAGAAATGATTTTTTTTTCTTTTTAGTATAAATTGAGGAAAATTGGGATTATTTTTTGATTTTTTAACTTTTATATTCCAGTCTGCAGCATCATTGAAGAGTGAAGAGTATCGCCAGTTGTTTCGCCTTCCGCCCGATGAAGTGAGTGAATATAATTTCGGGTTTTATTCAAAGTGTTTTTTCCCCTTTCATTGGTGTTTTTACGTTTTGATTGATTTAGAAACGGAAAGTAAAGTATGGATGTTACCATCCTGGGACTTATCTAGCAATGCAAAACTGTTTAGAGGTTTAATACATATCTAGGAATAACAATGGTGAACTGACAGATTTTCTATTTGAGAGTAAACTGATTTAGGGAAGATCAAAAGAGCAATTGTGATCGGACTATAGCGGAAAAGTAATATCGTTGAGGCTGTTCTCGGAGAAGAAATGTTGAACCTATGATTAGTAAGAAAAAGGTTTCGTATTTAGGTACCGTAAGTTTGCTAGAGTTAAAACTCAACAGTGTACTGACTTAAATAATAATAATAATAGAGAGGAAGGCAAAGAATACGATAGGAGTACCTACATACTGCACCTGGGTACTTGAGCATCAGTCCTGATAGAAGGATCCATCACGCATCTAATCTAACATAATTGTTCAAATTTCAGTCTCTTCGTTCAAGCATTGCACATTATATACTATGTTATATATTATATTATATTATATTGTAAAGTTTAACTTGGAAGTCATAGCAAGCACCACGAGTCCTTAAATTTTTAGCAGGTTGTATCTCATTTTCAAAGAACTAAGAATCTTTTTCGCTAAATATCAACTTGATATACACTGTTTTTTCCACCCTTTTGGGTTGATTTTTAATGCTCTACAATTCAGTAGGTTTCTTATTTAACTTTCATATTTTGCACAGTTGTTTCTCCACCCTAATTTAATCTTCTAATTTAGTCTTACTGTCGTGAAAGTAAGTATAATCTTTATTGGGTGGTTAGCTAATTAGAAATAGGATGTGATTGGCAGCACTAATCTAGTTTTGGCATTGAGATATGCATCAAGTTTTTGAACTTTGTTAAAATTCAAGAGTCTGTTCTCTTTCCCAAATGCATTGGTGGAGAAATGAGACACAGAGCTGAGTACCAAATTCTTTTTTGCACTATGTTTTACTGGTTGGCTTATATAAGTAGCATCATCATGGCTAAAATACCTGTTAAATGTGGCTAAGGAGTCTTTTGTCAGGACATTTAGTTCATATATGTCAAATCATTGTTGTGTTATACTCGTCACGTGATTTCATTTTAATGAGTATGACACATATGAACATGATCCGATTTTTCTGATGTATCCTGTTTCTTGATACTGATGAATTATTTAGAATCGGTCGAAATATTTTGAAGAAAAACTTAATTGCTGAACTATACCATAAGGCATGAATAGAATCCATTGATGCAGGAATTATAATGTGAGTAGTTAGCTTGGGAGCAATATTTGGCCTGTTAGGCATTGCAGTGAATGATAGGAGGTAAAATGCCTGTTTTTCCTCGGATATCTTCACTATATCCTTGAGTATTAAGTTTGTAATTGAAAGGACTACTAAAGCTTATTCTATATTTTACTTCTTAAATAGGTAGACTGGGTCATGGGATGCATTAACACAGACATTATTGACTTTTGGATGACATTTAACCGTTTGTGTGTCAAAGTGTACAATGTCCACTAGTGGTATATGTTGATGCTAAGAGGAACATGCCTTTACATGTTGATTCAAATAGTTATAGTTGTTGAGCATTGAGTGTGAAGTTCTCTCTCTCTCTCTCTCTCTCTCATCCATGTATACATATAGTTGAACCTCTACTTTTATGTTATTTGTGTGTATCTTTGACATTTTCTCTTTTTTCTTGTACTTTTTTTTGTTGTTTTCTTTAGGTCCTCATCGAAGATTTCAACTGTGCATTCCAAGAGAACATACTTATTCAGGTTCATTTTAGACGTTCTATAGGTTATTATTTAGAAATTAAGTTTTATGTCAGGTCTTATAGTTAAACTGACGCACTGCTTCTCATTGTTTAGTTAGTAGGTTATTGCTTTACCATACTCTTTGTTTTGGTTCATGATGAAAAATTGATTTTGTCCAAAATTATAACTTTTCTTTTTACTTCTTGATTGAACATTGTTTTTAACGCGTATTCTGCTTGGCTTTGCTAACTCATTACATGTTTCTTGTAGGGTCATATGTACCTGTTTGTTCATTATATTTGCTTTTACTCAAATATATTTGGATTTGAGACAAAGGTATGGTATTCAGCTTGTCCTGAACTTTGTCCTATTTTAATAAATTTACAATTGTTGCAAATTAAGTGCTATGCATCTTATATTCTTTTCTTTGCTAACTTTATCCTCCTTATGCTGAAATTTCATCTTCATTTTTCCTAGCAATTTTGTATATATATTCAATAAATCTTGTTCATGCATTGATTGTGCACTAATACATGTAGCTGACATTGCTGTACAAAAAGGAGACATTGAATATTAAACAACTTCCTACCCAAGAGTAACATGAAGACACAACTTTACTGGTTTATACAGCCACAATAACTACCTACCCAAGAGTAAAATGAAACCAATTTTTTTTCATCAGTGCTGAGTTAATTAATTCTATGTGTAAAGGGGCTTCAGGAATCACACAGTAATCAAAACTGATAATAATGTTCCAAATGGTTCCATACATTGTTTCAGGAGATTTAAGCTCACTTTATGTTTACAATTATTAAAATTATGTTTTCATTTTGGTTTGGACTTTAAAACATATTATTATGTATTAAATGTAAATTCCCCTTCAGAAAATAATTCCATTCCCAGAAGTCACAAGTGTACGAAGAGCAAAGACAGCAGGGATCTTCCCTAATGCCATAGAAATTTTTGCTGGAAGCAAGAAGGTAATGCTAAATCTGATGTTTACTTTGTACTGGTGATATCTTGTAACCCCATGCCCCTTTTAATGTCATTTCAGTATCAGCAATGATATCTTGTAAACCCCTTGCCCTTTTAATGTCATTTCAGTATCAGCGCCGTTTTAATGTCATTTCAGTATCAGCAATATCTTACACCACTTACTGTTTTGGCAGTACTTCTTTGCATCCTTTCTGTCTCGCGACGAAGCACTTAAGATAATAAATGATGGATGGTCGGGTGCCAAAGAGTTTAGAGAACAGGTGTCTAATTTATTTGTATTACAGTTGGCAGTGATAGATTCATTTCTTTAAGTGTATTAATTCATAACTTCTTTTTTTACTTCTACAGAATTTCATGAAAGAAGATTTCATTTATGTGTACATTTCTTTAAGTGTATTAATTCATAACTTCTTTTTTCTTTATTCCTCCTCCCTCTTATCTGCAATTTTCTCTCAGGATTTGTTATCTGAGACTGGCAGCCAAGAGAATGGAGTTGGAATTGAAAAGGTGGAAAGTTCCCAATTCTTAGTTAATGAACTGGATTCCACTGACAGGTACTTCTCAGAAATATCTTTAATATTTTATTCTGGTATATGATGTTTTGTAATTGTGACTTGTCCTTATTTAGTTGAATAAACGTGGACCAGGAATGGGGATATTCATGTTTCACAAGACTCTAAGCTTGCATCCAGTGTTGTAGACGACTCTGCATTGACATCAATTCCAGAGCAACACGATATTGTAAAAGAGGATTTGGAACCAGCTCAGAATAGTGACCCTTCATGTTCGAAAGATACTTTGATCTGGAAAGAGGAAAACTCTGATGCTCCAAATGGTGAGTTTATTGTACAATCTACAATCATTGCTAATGTTGCTTCATTTGTCATGGATGATCTGGGATCAAACTTGGATTCCTCTGGGTGTTATAATTGTCTTTGTTGTGCAATGTCCCTGTGCAATACAGTTTCTACCTCACCACTTCCATCTCTTTCTAGAAGCATGAAATATTTGGGGTCTTAATGGGATGGGATATGCATGAAACAATTGATCAGTGGATGAATTTCTGTATGACACAGTTACACATACAAATGTCCCTAGCCTTTTGTTTAAGTTCTAAAAGGGTAGGTGGGGGTGAAGTTGGTCATGGGTTCAGATCTTGCTAAAGCATGTGTATATCTGTGTTGATTGGCTACTAGGTTTTGGTAATTTAATTGATGCTTCTATATTTTCTCTTCTTCAAGTTTCATTGTTTGAGCATATTGAATCCATCAATTCTCGTTGTCTTTTTAGCTAAGCTGGTTATTTTTGACGTGCAGTTCCAGAGTGTTATACAAAGGTTGCAGAGTCACAGTTTCCGGTAATTTTCTTTTCTTTTTCTGAATAATTAAATGTTTACTCCTATTAACACTGGAAAGGGAACTGTAATTTTAAAAAACAAGAGGGTAGGTTTGTGGAGTTCAACAAAGCTTCAGGAGGAGAATATATTAGCATCTTTTACGTTCTGCCATTATTATTTTTATTTATTTTTGTCATTTCAAATACTGTTTCCATTATGGAAAAGTTAGTTTGAAAATTAACATCCAATCTGTGAAGTGCAGATAAATGTTGAAGATTTCTTTAGTTTATTTTTCTCTGATGATGTGTTCACAGAATCATTTCATACAAGTTGTGGAGATAAAGGTAAATTTCTGGAGCTTTGATGAATCCCTGTATTTAGTGCATAATTCAGGTTTCTTGATGGTTCTAGAACTTTGAGGCAAAAGTCTTTTTATTATTATTTTGTTTTTAAGTTTCTAATCTGTATGGTTTTATGCCTTTTCAGAGTTGAAGTGTACCCCATGGAATCCTCATGATAAATTTGGGTTTTCCCGTGATGTTTCCTTTCAGCACCCAATAAAAATTTATTTTGGTATGCCCATGTTTTTAGTTTTATCATTTACTTTATGAATCTCTCATGTGTACCTACATGCTTTGTTGGTTGGTTCTATTATATGTTTCAGTCTGTTTTAACACTGGAAATAATGTTTTTGTTGTCATAAAGGTGCAAAATTTGGCAGCTGCCAGGAGCTCCAGAAATTTCGGGTTCACAGAAATAGGTCTATAATGCCTTTTTTGAATGTTTCTTGAATTTGTTTGCATAGATTGTGATTATATTGTGAGGAAGGGATGACAGATTAACTTAGGTGACTGTCAATTTGAGATCGTACATTTGCAAATCTTGTTTTGGCTGGGATGTATTATGAACTGTAACTAATCCAAAGGATTTATGCAGTCCACACTTTGCTTTCGTCTCAAGAATGTCTCTGTTATTTTCATGACACATTAACTTTGACTTTTGCCAGCCACTTAGTTATTGAGACATCACAAGAAATCAACGATGTGCCTTATGGAGATTATTTCCGTGTTGAGGTACAAGCTACATTTCATCCAATTTCATAATTCCACCATACATGTATTATATATATTTTAAAAAATTATTGATTACCTTGCTAAACCTTTTGGCTGTTGTAGATAAAATAGAACTCAATTAATCTCATTTTTTTTTTTTTTTTCATTTCAGGGATTTTGGGACATTGAGAGAGATCCTGATGGATCAAAGGATTGCTGCAATTTGAAGATTTATGTAAATGTGGCATTTTCAAAGAGAACTGTGTGGAAAGGTTTGCCCTGGACAACACTTATTTATTTTTGGAATTTACCTTGGTTTGTGTTGGCCAATCATGGACATAAACATGTGACTTGAGAAATGAATTGATTGATTCGACATGGGAAACACCAGAGTTTCCAAAGAAATTATACGAGGCACAAAGACATGCATAAATAGTTACATACATATGAGTCAAGATGTAGTAAGTCGTACCAAAAACCCTTTGATTTGAATATAAATAGCACATTAGAATACAAGTCATATAATTAAAGTTCATTAAAAGATGCACTTCTTGTGTTTGGAATGTTATAGCATTATGATCCTGTAGTGTCCAAGTCGTTTCTGACAAAATAAATAAAACTTCAGATTATACATGTACATACACGGGGACGTTGTCTCTTGGGAAAGTGCTGGGGCATCGGAGAGCATTTCATGAGTTATGCCCCTATGGATATTCCATCTTTTTTTTTTTTTTTTTTTTTTTTTTGAAACTAGTGTCTTCGGATTTTTGACCCGACTAATCACTAGGCCCCCGCCTGACCCCACAACATTTAGGAAGCAAGAAACTCTAGCAATTGCTATGTCATCCACATATAGCAATAGTAATATGATCATTCCGTCTTGGAACACATGATAGTACATGCAACAGTCATATAAACATCTTCTAAAATTGATTTTCAGCATAATCAAACCTCTTGTACCACTGCCTTGGAGACTGTTTCAGGCCATTCAGGGACTTCCTTAGCTGACATACTAGGTTCTCTTTCCCATATTCAACAAACCCTTCTGGTTGAGCCATGAAAATCGTCTCCTCTAGATCCCCATGAAAAAACGCTGTCTTCACATCCATCTGCTCAATCTCCATGTCATGATGAGCTGCCATTGCTAAAAGCAATCTGATAGAAGTATGCTTGACTACAAATGAAAAGATCTCATCATAATCCACCCCTTCCTTTTGTGAGTACCCCTTAGCCACGAGCCTTGCTTTGAATCTCACGGCATCTTGTTCGTGTAGTCCTTCCTTTTTCCTAAATATCAACTTGCATCCAACTAGCTTTCTGTCTTTGGGCTTAGGAACCAACTCCTAAACAGAGTTCTTGTAAAGATACTCAGTTTCTTCTGTCATAGCACTTATCCAACTATCTCGCTCATCACTTGCTATAACTTCTCAATAAGTAGTCAGATCTCCTTGACTAATGTTAAGATACTTCCATTTCTTTGGTCAAACCCAAACCTGTCAGGTTTCTTCTTGTTTCGATTAGGTTTGTCCAGTGCATCTCTGGAATGCAGGTGGATTCTTGGTTGGAGTTCAAACCCTTTGGGATATCTGGCAGATTAGAGTGCCTTCAATCTGCCCTATTTCTTGCTCCACCTGATTCCTAACTGGTGAACAATGCTGATGCTCTTCTTCTTCCTCAAAACCATCAGATTCGGCCTCATGCTCGATTTGCTCCACCTAAGCTTCTTCTTCATTTGAACTGATTAACGGATTCTTTGTTACTTTAATTTCAGCATCGTCCTTCGTCTCCCTACTGCTCTCGACTTTATTCAGAGGCATGGTTCTCTCATCAAAGACAACATCTCGGCTGACAACCTTTTTCCTGTTGTGGATATCCCAAAGCTTGAACCCTTCACTCCTTTCTCAAAACCTAAGAATATGCAATGTGCAGACTTCGGTTTGAGCTTGGACCTTTCATCACTTGGAATATGTGCAAAAGCACTACAGCCGAACACCCAAGCTTGAAACCCTTCACTCCTTTCTCAAAACCTAAGAATATGCAATGTGTAGACTTCGGTTTGAGTTTGGACCTTTCATCACCTGGAATATGTGCATAAGCACTACAGTCGAACACCCTGAGCTTGGAATAGTCCATCGGCTTCTCAGATCATACCTCTTATGCGCTCTTAAGACCGAGAATTGTAGATGGTGACTTGTTAATTAAATAACTTGCATGATTAACAGCATCTGCCCAAAAACTATTAGGCAATCCTGCATGAAATCGCGTGCTCCTTTCTTTCTCCATGAGAGTTCAGTTCATCCTCTCAACAGCTCCATTTTGTTGGGGATTCTTCTTTCTTGTGAAGTGCCTTCTGATGCCTTCCTGCTTGTAGTAATCGGTAAACTCATTACTTGTATATTCACCTCCAGTCACTTCTAAGGTACTTGATCTTTCTTCCAGTTTGATTCTCGGTTTCCATTTTCCATTCCTTGAACTTTGCAAAAACCTCGGATTTCTGCTTAATGAAATAAACTCAAACCTTCCTAGAAAAATCATCCATGAAAGTAACAAAATACCTGGTTCCATCATTTGATTTAGTTGGTGCAAAACCCCAAACATTTGAGTGAATATAGCTGAGTTGTTCCTTGCTTCGGTTATCTGCACTGCTACTTGCGAATGTTACCTTTCTTTACTTTCCGAGAACACACTATTCACAAAAGTCCAATTTGCAAGATGACACGCCTTCCAACAGGCCTTGCTTGTGTAATTCTTGCAACCCCTTTTGGCTTATGTGCCCGAGCCTATGATGTTAGAGTTCAGTATTGTCTTCTATACTCTAATTTACGGAAACAGCTGCTCCCTCGACTGTAGTGGTCCCAATTAACTTATACAACTTATTGGGTTGTAGGTCACCCCGCATTACCACAAGCGATCCCTTGGTTACCCTGAGTCTTCCTTTTTTAGATTTGTACCCATAACCGGCCTCATCTAAAGTACCCAAGGAAATCAAATTCCTTCTTAGTCATACCTGACGTTCCCCAAAGCTTGTATCATCCCATCGAACATTCTGATTCTAACAGTGCCGATTCCACTTACAGGACATGAAGAATCGTCCCCCATTAAGACTTCCCCGCTGCCAACTTCCTTGTAAGTATCAAACCATTCGCTTACTGCACACATATGAAAAGTGCATCCGGTATCCAAAATCCAATTTGTGAAGGCCTTGGAGCCCGATGTTACTGAGAGAAGCTCCTCGTCACTCTCATGCTCGGTGATTGCACTAGCTGAACCTGAGCTTCCTTCCCTCTTGGCTTTCTTCTCTTTCCAAATCTTGCAGTTCCTCTTCCAATGATCGGCTGAACCACATTCGAAGCAACCTTCTCTTCTTTTTTCTTCTTGGATTTTGACCTACCTCTGTTGCTGGTTTTCTCTTCCGTTGTCTTTTCCCGCCCCCTCTCCTTGCCTTTGGCATAAAGGCCTTGAAAGCTTTCAGTTATATTATCCAGTTTAGCATATGACTGAAGAGCTTGAATTACATCTTCAAGCTTCTAGGACTCTTTTCCAAACATTAGAGTTGTTCGAAAGTGCTTAAAGACGAAGGTAAAGACCTTAGCAAGATGATAGTCATATCATCATCTTTGTAAGTTTCTCCGACCTTCTGAAAATTAGCTATGGAATTCTGAACCTGCATATGTGATCTTCAATATCACCTCCTTCTTCTAGTCGAAGCCCGAATAGTTCATCCTTTAAAAAAAAGTTTATTGGACACGGTTTTGCCCATATAAACCTTCTTCAACTTTTCCCATGCTTCCTGGGAAGTCATCTTTTCGGTGATGTGTGACCGAACCGATCTTGTGAGATGGATCTTGATGGAACTCTTGGCCTTCTTAAGAACCTTAGTCCATGCTGCTTCTGTCATGTTTGCCGGCTTCTCACCATCGGGTGCATCATCCAAATCCTGTTGTATCAGTACGTTCTTCATCATCCTTTCCCAGTCCGTGAAGTCATCCTTGCCGTTAAAGGGCTTTAACACAGGTCCAAGATCCGCATGCATCTTCCCTTTTGACATCGTAGAACACCTTGAACTTAGCTCTTGATATCAATTGTTGAAAAAATCGCACACTACACCTTGTTCTTTAATGTAACCAACAACAATAGACTAAACTAACAAATATAGAAAACTTAGAAACACACAAGACTTATATTGGTTCTGCAGAACTTTTCCCTACATCCGGTTGTGATTTCTCTAGCTCCTTTGATTAATAATAGAGAATTACAGAACTTTTGCAAAACCCTAGAACTAGTCTCTCTCTCTCTCTAATCTCGGTTGTCACTGTTTTTTCTCTCCCAGATTTATGCCTTACCGCACCCTATTTATAGGCATAGGGTGCAGTTTACATGTCCTTTACAGATTATAATACCTATTCTAAGTGGAATAGGAAATTAGACTTGCTTTCCAATTCCAAATAGACTTCTAGGATTTCTAATCTAAATTGAATAAGGAAACTAAGATTCTTTTTTAAGTCTTTTTAGGAGAAGAATCGGTGCACCTCTTTTTTTTCCCTAAAACAATCCTAAACAGAAAAGGACACTAATTGACGAGCCAAAAAACCTAACCCATGCATGCCGCAATGATTTTCTAGGGGAGGGAGGACCTTTTTAGCGAAAATTTGTGCTTTAGTTAGGGTAGCTTTGCTTTAACATACTTTGTACTATTTGTTTGAAGTTATGCAATAGCCATTGAGAGAGTCATGATTAAAAGCTACTCTTTAATGGTTTTGATAATATTCAATTTTGTAGTGTTTTGTGTGCCATTCTTATTTATGTCGGTGTATGCTTGTCTCTTATATACAAAAAATAGGGATGTAGAGTAATTTTGTGACCAAGGACCTAATATTATGTTTGATCTAATGCTAAGTAAGTATGAATTGCAGGCAAAATAGTGCAGTCTACCATGGAAGAATGTCGAGAAGTTTTTGAAACCTGGATAAACATGGTATTATTTATTTATTTATTTTTGCATCTGTGTGAATTTTGGAGTTTGTCAGAGTTGCCTAAAATTTTGCATGGACTTTCATTCAGGCACATGAATTGTTGAAGAAGAAGAATCTTGAAAAACAAGAAGGTAGGACAGTTGTGGACAAATTAAATCATGCAATCATTGTTAATGTGGGTACTCGGATCAATTCATATAATTATTTTCATAAGCAGAGAGGATTCCTGCGGTTACCATTGTTCAGAAATTTGAAGGTCATCCTCAAATTGAAGCAGAGATGGTTGTACCTGCAGAAAGGTTTTACGAGCCCAGTGAACTCAATAGGGTACAACACTTGTCTAAATCATTGGATGCAGCCCAGCAAGTTGGGAAGCGGTTGCTGGGAGGTACAATTGATGTTTCCCCTCTTACATCATGGTTAAGAGAATCTATGCTGAAATTCCAGTCCTCATTGAGAAGTCAAAGCCAGCTTCCCTTGATCATAGTCATCGTTTTTGTTGTGATTTTCATCATGCAGGTATTTACTCTCGACCATATTGGTCAAATAATATTTGTTTTCACGTGTTGGCCCTGGTGCTGTATACATATTTCCTTGAATCGTCGTCATGCTGGATTAATTTGTTACGATGCATAATGTGACAGCTAGTGGGAATTTGCATTGCGTCAGCTTTCTTAATTGTTCTTTTATGTTGGTTAAACGTAATTTGTTTCTTTGATTGTAGTTGAGCATACTTGCACTATTAGCCAGACCCCAACACATCCATGTGCAATCGCCTGTGGACTATGGGAGTGGCTTGGGAAGTCAAGTAGGTGAAAGATCATCTGAGGTGGTCGCTTGGCTGGAGAAGCGAATCCACCACCTTAAAGACGAGATGCGCTTGGTTGAGACTCGGCTTGAGAATATGCAGCATGAACATGCTCTGTTAAAAGCTCAACTCAAGGATATTAATCATCTAAGTAAGCGCAGGTAACGTCCAATTGTATATCCTTCTCATTCTTCAAGTGATTACGAAATGTATGTTGTCCTTTTTATTCCGGTTGCAAAATATATGTTGTTCCATTATGAAGAAAATCCGTAAACTTGTAGAGAACATTGTTAATTGAAATTTATAGTTCGTCATTCCTGTTGGGAATGGAGAATCACGGCTTGTCAGAATGCTCTCATTTGATTTCAAGTGATAAATTAAATATCCCGTAGCGTCGATTAATTGTATATAATAAGAAACAGCACTAGTTTCTGTTTTCATTTTCCTTGCCTTGATATGTTCTTTTAGATAGTGTTTCAAACGAATGATTATTCATGGCTTTTAATTATTTATTTGGCAAAGCTCGAGTAAGATAACTGTCTAGTATATACACCAAATTCTGTGCATTCAAACCTTTTGTTTAGTCCCCGTTGCCCTTGGGGAACAACTTGAGCCTCCGCCAAGAACAACACGCGCTCATCTTGACGCCTCTCGAATAATATTGCCAAAAACGTTTAACACTCGACCCACAGAGATGGCTCGAGAAGCACTTGGTTATTCTGGAGGGGCGGGGGCTCGAGTTATTCTGGAGGTGCGTCTTGAGCAATGGAAACTAGGCAAAAGATTTGAATGCAATCAGGTTTATTAAGTATTTTCACACATAGAAGAGGTCTTTTTTTTCCGAAATTTCCTCTCAGGTGTCCTCCTCTTTCTCACACACCCCACACCACCACCACCACCCCCACCCCCCGGCGGGGGCTGCGGCGCGCTAGTATAATTTCATCAAGAGCACAGTTATAGTTCTAAATGAAAATAAAATAAAAAAACTTAAGAGCACAGTTATAGTTCTAAATGAAAATAAAATAAAAAAACTTATAGGTAGAAGAGTGATATGAAAATAAAGTTAAGAAATCGAGGGCAAAACATTGGACTTTGTAAAACCGTAACTTGTAGAGGGAGTAGGGTTCTCCTAATCTTTCTCCTTCCTTTCCCTGCTCTTAGAACAATTACGATTAAATCACAACAACATCTTGTGTTGATTTCTTTGTACAAAAATATAAAAAATGAAAATGTGAAAGGTGGGGAGGGAAGGGGAGGAGAGGGGATTCTATTCCCTTGCAAAGGGAGCCAAGAGTTAAAGTCGTCATTGGGAGAGCAAGGAGAAGCACCTCTACTTTTTCTCGTCTTTTCCTTTTTTTAGGCCGTGGTTGGTTGAAGCTCTTGGGAGGATTAAAGAAAGAATCAGTTTTTCTTCTGTAAAGAACTTGTCAAATAATTTATAACCTAATCTTTTCAAAAATGTTCGTTTGGGCTCCTAGAATATGGCGTCTTGGAGGTTTTCTATTTGATTGTATTGAAAGGTCCAAAGAATTGGGATTTCCCTATTGGGTCAAGTCATTTCGGGACAAGTGGATCACTTATGATGAAGAGAATGAGTTTCAGGAGAATGATTCGGAGTTTCAAGCAGAAACAAAGAAGGCAAAAAGGAATTGACTTGCTTAGTGACCAAAACAAATTATATTGGCATTACTGAAATTGCATTTCATTCGATATTGAGTACCAAAGTCGTTCTAAAATGACTTGATTCAAGGCACAGACTATTACAAGATTGAAAAGAATGGGAGCAAAACCGTGAAGGAAAGAACTCACGAAACAAGAAGATAGATCGTGGAAGTCACACGTAAGGGCCATGAATTCACCTTCATCTAGCTCTTGTTCTATATCTATGGTTGAGAACCGATCGAAATATGTGTTCCCACACTTAAAAAAAACTTGTGGCATATCGCTCAAATCATTGGTCCGGTACTAGATGTAGCTTTCCCACTGGGCAAGATGTCCAATATTTACAACACTCTGGTATATGAATGTACCCGAGAAAAGAACTAGATTATGTCCTGATAAGACTAAAAAGAATACTCACAAAAAATATATGATCCTTTCTTCAATGGATCCTACTATGAACAAATCAAATTGTCCAATTTCAATAATGTGCCGCTCGTTGACATCTAGTTTCCATAATCACGTGCAAGTTACGCGCCAGCCTCTGGTTGTTCGTTGACGCCCCCTCCGCCATTCGATTCATCTCCCAAGGACAAATCCAATAGTGTAGATAAACATTCCCAAAATCGTTAGAGATCCAACGGTGAGGCCAAGAGTGATATCATGACTCACTTTTATCTTCCTCCAAGAAATATGGACATCCAAGATTACCGATTTTGTGATGTCAATTTTTTGAGACCATGTATCTTACTCATGTTTGTTGGTATCTTATGTCGTTGGAAATGTCAAATTACAAAAACTGAATCTAACAGCACGAAAAGGGGGTCACAAAATTTGAAAAGAATCACATTTTCCTCCAAACAAACCTTTTCTAGCAAACGGGTTGGAATTTTTTCACCAAAGTACATACACAAGTTCATATAACCATGAAGAACATATACCAAGCAACAAAATCTAGAAATTTCAAAGTAAAAAAAAAACGTGAATATCTCAAGCAATCTTCCACGGTGGGTCTCGTTCTTACGACTTGTTTCACGAACTATGAACAAGGGCATCACAAAATTGAGGATTCGATTGCATCTAACCCAGCTAGATTGCCTAAGTACCTTGTGCCAATGCACAAACATCAAACTGCCATAGTTCTTATTAGCTTTTTTATACTAGGGTCAAAGGTGATACCACAGAGGGTAAACTAAGAGAGAGAAAGATTACTAGAAGAGTGAACAAGATATTTTCCTCTCATCTCCTCTAGAGCTAAGAGAACTGTTTCTCTTGTAGGTGTGTCTTTTCCCTTCCACAAAGTCTCTTTATATAGTGGCTAGCAGGTAAGGAGAAAATGAAACGGTTGATGTCTTTTGTTGGTGTGTCTTTTCCCTTTCACAAAGTCTTATATAGTGGCTAGTATGGAGGGTGAAAATGAAAAGGTTGATGTGGGACAAAGAACACACACACACATACACAATATATATATAACACATCCATATTGGATGACTAATATTGTATTTTATACAATGTAATTATTATATAAATCCTACATATTAGTTATTGAAACTGGTTTGCTATTTAATCCTATGTATCAATTATTTGTTTTCTTTTCTTGTTACTCATCACTTATGTCATCTTTTATCTTTCTTCCTAACCAAGTCGTTAACAGAAACACAACAATCCAAATAAAAAAGTTATGAAGTTTATTGTCATATATATACACAAGTATGACCACAATTTTATGTTGGTGCGTTGAAAAGCTTTAGCTCCGAATCAGTTAAAATTGGCGCCGACGGTTACTCCGGTCATTTTCGCTTAAACCTACTGAGAAAGTGTTGGGTATGGACGGCGCTACCCCTGCCGCCAACAAAGCAGCAGGACGTGCCACGTCCCGAGTCGGTGCAGTCAAACGGAAATCGCAATGCGTAATAACGTGTCGGTACCAAGGACACGCGTCTTTCGAGACCCCTCCAACAAGAAACAGACAATATTAGCCTTTTTAGGGTTTTAGTCACGCTCTTACGAAAGCACGGGTCCCGGTGGTTTACGTATAAAAAGAATCCTACCTGCTTCTGCTGTGAATCTATGATTGCTCAAATGCTGTATTGCTGCATGTTTTTGGAATAGAAAATGGTTCGGTTGCTACTTCAGACTATTAGAAATCAAACGTAACAACGACATGTTATTGTAACTGTATCTCAAACTATGTTTTACCAGTCAAACATGACAACGAGATATTATTGAGTGAGTCAATCAACTTGCTTTCACTTCCACTTAGAATAGTCAAACAAAAACCCGTGATTAATTAGTTAATTTATCTCGTATAGTGATTACAAATAATTGAGACCCCTCTCCTCCAAGATTTGGCGGGAAAAAATTACGTTTATATGGACAAATGAGATGGACGAAACGATGTCGTTAGTTGCTACTCTCTACGGGTTCTTTTTGTTGATTAGTGTTTTTTGCTGAATAATCTCTTGGCCGTGGCTTTGAACGGACATTTTGAGCTCTGGAAATTGTCGACGAGGTGGAGGTACGTGCTGAGCTCGTGACACGTTGACACGTTGGTGCCCATCAGGTACGGCGAGTCCTTGCTACTTAACCTGAGCTCCTTCCCAACCTCCGCGTACGACAACTGCGTGTCCTCCACCTTCTGGTGGATCCAGTTCTGGAACTCCACCGCCTTTCGGAACCCCCTGTAGCACGCCAAGTGGCGCCGTTCATTGTCGTCGACTACGAAACCAGGTACTTTAGTTATTACATCGTCGGAGTTCACAATGCGTAAAACTTTTGGGCCTTTCTTGTCCAGGTTCCGGCGGAAGCTACTGTTTCCTACACGTGGCCCGGCAAACGAAAAGACGGTGACTAGCGGCGACCGGTTAAACGTAGTTTTTATGTCGTAAGCTGCGAGCGTTGCAAGCGCGGCGCCGAGGCTGTGCCCGGTCAATGTTATGCTGAGAGGCTCGTTGCCGTAGGATTGAAGCAACCGCGCGATCTCTTGGCGTAACATTTGTTGCAAGCTCGGGGTTAAGTCGGTTCCTGAAGTGTATAAGCTCAAAAATCCACTTTCGACCATTGGCTCACAGTTGTCCAGACCTGAGTTATTAGGGCTGGACGGAAGCTGGGTGAGAGTGGCTCGAAGATTTTCAAGCCACTCCAAGCACGTGGCGGTCCCTCTAAAGGCAATCACTACGTCCCGTCTTCCAAGCCTTGCAATTTCGTCCTTGTCTTGACAGACCGCCACGTAGCCAATCCAGCTGGACTGCGTTGCGACCCAGCTCGGCGCCTTTTCTATCCAGCTTGGAAACTGGATTCCCGACGTGGCACGTAAATTTTTTGTAATCCGGTAGCCAGTTCCCGGAAGCCCGGATTTTTCAAACAATGAGGCTTTTGAGTACTTGCATGTTGCGTAAAAATTGGAATCTGGATCAAATTCAAACGCCTTGTATGCGGCATCGACAAACTGACCATACCGGATAATCTCACCACGTAAATTGTCGTCTAGAGGGTCGAGAAGGTTTTCCCAGTTGTTGAAGCCTTGGTAATCCATCCAACTTTTGCGAACGGGTTGTTTACCGGCGGTGGTGTTGGTGGTTATGGGGGTGACAGGGGTGAGTGCTAGGGAGCTAATGTCAACTGGGTTTAGCAAGTGCTGCCAGTTGGGAAGGTTGTGAGTCAAGGTCATGTGTTTGGGGTTTAGAGTTGATAATTGAGTGAGGGTGCATGAGGTGATTGTTGCCTTGTGTGAGAAGGTTCTGATAGAAAGCTTCATTGTGATCGGTTTGTGAGAAGTTCA